AGATGGCAAAGTTTACTCTGCACAACTCATGGTTAGCCTTCAACCACGAGTCCCTACTGCCTGGTGTCTTCACAGAGTCTGCAGCAACACGAGTGATATGCTTTAATGCAGTGCTGGTATCCCCAGTACTCTTGGGAAAATTGTGTCTAGTCCAGATTTAGATGAATCTACGTTAGTTTCATTTTAGACTCCAATTTAATTGCCTTGGTCTCTTAAACTGCATTTTTTCCCCCCTTTTCTGGTCTTTTTAATAGCGTCTCACTATGTAGCCCAGGCTGACATGGAACTTGCTAAGTAGTCTACGTCAACCATGAACTTGTGATCCTTTTGCGTCAGCCCGAAATGCCAGAATTATAGCCATTACTATGACATCCAGCTCCAAGCCTTCGTTTTCTAAGCAAATCCAGGATGTAAAACTCCAAACAGTGGAGGCTGGCAAGGTTAAAGTACTTTCTGTGCAAGCCTAACAATCTGAGTCCAATGCCTGGAACTCACAGTGAAGGAGAGAACCAAACCTGAAAGGTGTTCTCTGACCTCCACACACACACACTCGCACACACATGCCTGCCATGCACACACACACACATATATGCACGCACACACATATGCATGTGCATACACACATATATACACATGCACATACAAACACACATGCAGTGCACACTAGCACACAATGCCTAACACACACGTAGACACATGCACACACATATGCACATACACACAAATAATAATTATAATAAATATTTAAAATGAACAGTATATAGCTGAACCGCCTACATTCTCCTGACTCCTGATCTCCAAATCCTTTCACCAGAAACAATTTTCCATTTTTTAAATCACATACCCAGACACAATCTGTGCACAGATACCTTAATAATGCTTTATAGATTCTTACAAGTGCACATAACATTAGAACAGTCCAACACCCAGGCATGTCTATGAAAAGGGACAAGGTTTTATTCCCGTGTCAGCCAACACACTAAACACTTTCAGCCCTGATCGGCCTGGAAGCAGCAGCTTTCATGGAAAAACTATTGGTTGAACAAAAATAACATCTGTCACCTTAATCACAACCTTTTCTCTTCAGTGCTGGTGATGGACCTCCTGGGTCACACCTCTGCTCTCAGGCTTTATACAGGCCTCAAGAGGAAGCCCAAAGCTCTCCTCACTCAGGACCTGCAGGTGACTTTAAACCCACCTCCCCTCTGTGAGCCTTCAGGTCAGAGAAGTCTTCATGGCTAGCTAAACAAGAAAAACACTGCTCTCCCTGCTCACAAGACACATCCGAGAGAGAAAATCCCAGCCTTGGGCAACTTGGACCTCTTCTCTTTTTGAAACGAAGTATGTGAAAGGTTTGTTGAGACAGAGCCTTGGTGACCAGATACGCTAGCTCAATCCCAACTTAAAACAAAGCATGGGTCAGAGACGACACAGCCAGCCCCAGTTAAACATGAGCTGCTTCGGGAGTCAGCAGTTTCTATAACCCTATCATTCTCTCCCAACCTTTCATCAGATACCTTGCTTTAAGTTGGGATTTTTCAACCTATAGCATATGGGGCTTTGGAGTCAGGGAGATCTGGATTTGCATCCAGGTTGCATCACTAATTAGCTGTGAGGCCCAAACCCCACATCATGCTCCAAGGAATCAGCCTTAGTTTTCTCATATAATTAAACCAATGGGGGAAGGGAGCCTCAAACAGCAAGATGGCCCAGCAGGTAAGGGGCACCTAACTGCACAAACCCGAGGACCTTAGCTCAATAACTGGAAACCGTGGTGAAAAATAAACAGACCAAACAAGGGCTCTCTCACTGGGTCAGGAAAGGGGGAAAACAGCTTCATTTTAGTGAAATATTTGTTCCCCCAACAAAAGTTGAGGGAATCCTTACAAAATAAAATTATAGGGCTCCTATCCAAAAGTGATTAAGATTTTTAAGATGGTAACAGCAGGGCTGGAGAGAAAGCTCATCCCAGAATGTGCTTGCCTTGCAAGCCCAAGCACTGGAGTCCAATCAGGAGAACCATTGTTAAGGAAAAACAAACAAACAGGCCTGCTGTCTCAGCCTTGCAATCCCAGCGCTGGGGATAGAGAAGCAAAGATCTCTGGTGCTCACTGCCCATCCAGCATAGCCTACATGACAAATTCCAAAGAGAGACCCTGTCTGAAACAGCAAAGGGACAAAGGGAGTGGAGGGTGCCTGAGGAATAACACCCAAGATTGTACCCTGGCTTCTACAGGCACAGGAGACACACACACACACACACACACACACACACACACACACACACACACACACAGGAGAGGCAGAGACAGAGAGAGAGAGACATTGTCAGAAGATAGTAAAAGGACACTGTCCAACCTAGAGTGGGGGCCTGGGAGACCACACAAGGGGCCACACACACCAGGGGCTCCTCTTTGAGGTACAGACTATAGCTATCATCATCATCTCTCACTTGATACTTTTCCCAAAGACAGCCTTTCATCTACACACACACACACACACACACACACACACTCACACCCATGTTCTCTTCTCAATATACTCTACTTAGAAAATTTCACTGGATCAATTCAGGCTCCAGCATCTTGGAAGCAGCCCGTATCTACAAAGAAAATGACTCACCAAGGTAGGCTAACTAACCTACAGCAGAAGACGATGCTACATACACAGTCCACTTGCTGACAGATGGCCTGGGCCCAGGCTTCTCCTCCTGCTAACACTCACATCCTTCAAACCCCTGTTTGGAGACTCTACTCATCAGTTCCAGTCTATCCCCTGTCCTTCCTCTACCTCGAAGACTCGATCCTGGTGACATTAGTCTACTTTTACTTTTTCCATTGTACTTAGAATGTCGAGCGTGCTATATTGCTTGCTTCTTTTTATGCTCATCATGTGTTGTTTCTTTTTTCCAACACATTTGCAAACGCATGCAAAAAGAAAAAAAAATGTAAACTACTCAGAGTCACGTGCTTTAGTCTGGTTTTTGTTCATTATGTATCCCACGTGCTCAGAATAGTGTTTGGCACATGGAAATCATTCAATAAATTTGAAGTGAAAGAATGTCTTTGAATGAAAACATAATAAAAACAGACCATCACTTCACCCACTTGGGGAATCAGCCCCTCTGCCATCATGGACAAATTTCACCAACAGCTCAGCATTTAGACATCTGAGTTCAAGAGGTAGCTGATTAAAGTACCCGTTTTCAAATCATTTCCAAACTTCCCTAGTTCAGACCCAGCCGTCCATGCCCCTTTCACCACCGATGCATATACACACACTAACGGCTTGCAGCAATTGTGAGTGGCATTTTGTATGTGTGAGCGGTTCAAAAGGGAGAGCCTCGTCTGGAGACCATAAGAGTCGTTGAGAAGCAGAGGGATTATCAGAGAAATGACCCCCACATCACTGCCTTGCCACGATGACACAGAAAACCTGAGTTGTTAATATCAAAGGGAATGCGAGGTCTCAAGCTCTGGAACTGTAAAGATGGCAGCTGGAGCCAAGCCAAGCTTTTGTCCTGCAGTTCCTGCCAGTCCCAGGTAGGGACTCATCTCAAAGCCCTGTGTGGCATCTCTCGGGATCCAGCAATGCCGCTGTCTGCACATTTTATCCCACCACCTTGCTGAAAGGCAGCCTGAAGGGGTGGCCTTGCGGCCTCTGCCGAGGCATGGTCTCAGTGAGAGCTGTTGCTGAAAGCAAGGGTCTCTCCACTCAAGATCAAGCTGTAGCTCCTGCCAGTGGGAGCATCCGGGGCCCCCACAGTTAGGAAACAGCTATGGGTCAGCATACTCAGGCTCCTTCTAGAGCAGTGCTCTGGAAGCACATCTGGGCTCCTAACCCAAAGGCTTCTTGGGGACGGGCAAACTGGATGGTCAGGGTCACACTCAGCATCTGGCTTTTGCCCCAGAGTGAACCACCACTCCCTCTCAAGCCTGCACATGGCTTCTTTTTATAACCAGCCCTTCTCAGCCACCACAAATGCTTTGTAGGAAGCTGCAGGGAGGCCCTATCCCTTTTCCCAAAATACAGTCAGCCAGCAGCAGCAAAGGCCTCAGAGGTGGGGCTTGCAAAAGTTTCAAATATCCTGGTACTGACCCCATTAACAGCACCAAGCAAGGCAGGAAAGCAGCCAAGCCTGTTCTTACCTCACAGTTAGTGTGTGTGTGTGTGCGTGTGTGTGTCTGTCTGTCTGTCTGTCTACAAATCTGCAGATGACTGAGGACAAAGCCATATTACCAACACTGACTGTCAGACACAAGATTCCCTCCTGCAAGCTTATGCCAAAAGGCGGAAAGTGACATCTCCAAACGAGTCATGGCTCTGCAACAGTTGAGTCTCCCAGGCGGTCTCTGTGGGAAGGAACTGGTGAGCTGTCCCACCTCTCCCGCAAAGTCTCCCTGAAATATGCAGCTGCCTCAGATTTTCCAGACTTCCCAGAGATGGTTTCCCCCGAATCGGGAGGAAGCAGGTCTTCAAGACTGTAGCAGAAGCAGCTAAATAAGGCAGCCACTGTCCCGTGTGAAGAAAGAGGGCTTTTCAACACGCACGTACATTTTAAAGATACAAACAAAAAAGTTAAGGAACAGGACAGAGGGAGATAAGAAACAGATGGGAAGAAAATAGTACATTAGCTTGTCCAATTTTGTTTTTTTCTTTCTTTTTTTTAAACCACAAAAATCAGTGTAACTGGGCAACTGGGCGGAGGCGTTATTCTCCAAACGCATCCCCTTCCCAACATGCTGTACCGTTTGCGACAGGAAACGGTGCTGCCGACAGAAAAACAGTGTAATACTTTGGAATACAAAGAGTCTCTACTGGGAAGAAAGTGTGAAGCCCCAGCTGAGCACCACCATGTGCTCATAGAGGAAAACTCCATCCTCGGACTTCTTGTCCCTGCCCCGTCCCAGACGCTGCCTCCCAGCTCCCAGCTCTCCAGCTGGTGACAACAACCGCCTCTCTCCTCAGAGCCCCCCCTGCCCGGGCCGCGGGGTCCTCACCGTGTGGTACATGAGGGCCTCGGACTCTCCGGGCTCTGACAGCTCGCTCAGCTTGCGGTCCCATTGCAGGACACTCTGCTCCCCGCTCTCCAGCACCTCCATGGCGGTGGGGGCCCCGCGGGGCCGGGGATGCTGAGGCAGGAGCGCACCGCTCAGAGCCGCCACGGGCCGGCGAGACGCCTCTCTCCGCGAGTGCTCGAGTGTGCACGCGTGGGACTCAAACGCACTAAGCAGAGCCCCGCCGAGAGCTGGGCGACCCGTGTCCTCGGAGGTCCCGGAGTCCCTGGGGAGGACAAGCCTGCCGGGCTCGGGCCGGAGGTGCACGGCTTAAATCGGGCTGTGCATCCGAAAGGAAGGCAAGGAGGAGGCAGCTCCCGTGCCGAGACAGTCCCCGCGCCGCAAGCCCACTCCCCGCCACTGCTCCAGACAAACTTTGAGACTCCGCCGGGCTCTCGAACTCGGCTCACCGACCCAGAGGCGACCCCGCCCCCCTCCAGGCCGGTGGCCAATCGGACGCCCGTCTTGCCGAGAACGCCGTATCACAAGTCCCCGTCTCAGCCAGGTCCCGCCCCCGGAGGCAGAGTCGCGGGAAGTCTCCGCCCAGACCTCGGAATGTGGGCGGGGACCGTGTCTGACGTCACGGGAGGACTCCGCCTGCCCGGGCGTCGCGGCGGACCAATAGGGTGCTTGGGTCTGGGAATGATCGACTGGAGCGTCTACCAATGAGAGAGGGCGATCTGGAGAAGACAACCAGTCACGTAGCGACAAGAATACATTTTATAAGAGAGGGCGTGCGCGCCCCGTGAGGGTTCTTCCCAGCCCTAATTTCCTTAGAGAAACAAATCTAGCAGGCTGGAGCGCTGCCCACATTTCAGACTAGTCTGGGTCGCCGGAGTCTGTCTGGGTTTTAAAGGATGCGCGACATATATACGAAAGCGCGCACGTAACTCTAGTGCATGGATCTGAATTTTTAACAGTTCTAGCACACGCATGGCTTGCTTGGTTTTTGTTTTGTTTTGTTTTGTTTTTTTTTAAAACTGGTTTGATGGACTTTGCTAAACAGACATTAGCCAGTGGCACACCTATCCAAGTCCTAAATCAGTTGGCTAAAGTCCTTTAATTCATGGGTTTTTGCTGTCGTTTTGTTGTGTTTTTGAGAGAGGGTCGCATGCCGCCCAGGCTGTCCTCCACGTCACTGTGTAGCTGAGGCTGGCCTTGAACTCCTGATCTTCATGCCTCACCTCCGGAGAGTTGAGCTACAGGGTTTTGCCACTAGTGCCTGGTTCATAGACCTTTTATTCCCAATTTTATGGAAAAACAGTCCTTGGTTGAGTGTAATTTACCATCTTACATTCTTAGGAACTCTTACAATGGGGCAGTCTTGCATTGCATTGGTATTGTTTTGTTTGTTTGTTTGTTTGGGTTTTTTTTTTTTTTTTTTGAGACAGTTTCTCTGTGTTGTTTTGGAGCCTGCCCTGGCACTCGCTCTGTAGACCAGGTTGGCCTCGAACTCACAGAGATCCACCTGCCTCTGCCTCCCGGCTTTGTTTTGTCCTCTTTAAAGCCTGGCTTTGCTGTCTGAGAACATTCAAAAGTCTCAGAACTTTACATTGCCTTTAACATTTTGTTTTCATGTAAACGAGTCTATTTGTCTGGTCTAGCATCTTGTGAGACAGCTCCAGTATTTGAATACATAGCTTGCTTATATAATAGATCTCACAACTTTCCCATAAGCCCTTGCTTTTTCTTTTCTAAACTGTTAGCTTCCTTCAAGACAACTTCTTTTGTAAATCACCCTTTCGGGGTTTCCCCTGCTCATGGCGTGTACACGCCTTTAATCCCTGCACTCAGGAGGCAGGGGCAGGCAGATCTCTGAGTTCCAGGCCAGCCTGGTCAACAGAGCTAATTCTAGGACAGCTAGGTGTGATGATATTTTGTTTATGATCTCACAAATAAAGCTTGCCTGAAGATCAGAGTGCAAAGCTGGCCACACTCACTAGTCGGCCACACTCACTAGTCAGGTGGTGGTGGCACACGCCTTTAATCTCAGCACTAGAGAAGAATATAAGGAATGCAGAGTGTCCAGTCTGCAAACACGCTGAAGACAGGATTGCCCCAGCCTTGGTACAGGTAAGAGCTCTCCAGTGGCTGGCTGCTTTGCTTCAGCTTGAACTCCAATATCTCTGTCTCTGGGTTTTTATTATTTGTGATACAGCTAGGGCTGTTCCATGGAGAAACCCTGTTTCAAAATACCAAAAGGAAGGAAGGAAGAACAGAAGACAGGATTTCTCTCAGTAACAGTTCTAGCAATCCTGGAACTCACTCATTCTGGAGACCAGGCTGGACTCTGATCTCAGATTCGCCTGCTTCTGCTAAGTGCTGGGATTAAAGTGCGGGCCGTATTTTTAACACAGTATTCATCATGAGAAAGTAAAGCTAGAAATGTACATTCTTCTTAACATATGGACACAAACATTTCTGTGCCCAACATAACTACATATGACAAAGTCTGTCCCTAGCAATGACCCAGCGACAGGCAGTTTCCACAGTGGCCTCCAGGCATCATCGACTTTGGATGCACCTCTCCAATCCAGCATGGGCAACAAGGAGACAATAAAAAGTGTTCTGACACTATCCTCTCTTTTGCTAGTTTGTCCCAAGGAAAGACAACCACTGTGTTGTCATCTACCCTGTGGAGAGACCAATATGTCCATGGAACAGAGGAGGGTGTTCAGTTACCAGACAAGGGATTGAGGCCCCTCAAACAACAATCCACGAGCAACCGAATCTGCTGATAGGCAGGGAAGAAGGTCCTCTCTGAGGTGGGCCTTCAGGCAGATTGCAGCTGAGCCACACTGATTCCTGAGCCGCAGGTTCGGTGAGCTAGGGGACATGAGGCTTTAGGCCAACAAGTTTTTCCTTTGTGAAGTACATGGCAGGGTCATCCGTACTCTGAGCCTGGAGTAGGTTTCCTTTATCCCGATGATGTAGGCACGATCCTCCTCAGTTTCACGAATGGCTTTCCTGGGAATTGCACACAAGACTTCCTGCGGTGCGCATTCCTGTTTCCCACCCTGAATACTAAAGTCACACCCCACCATCCCATTCCTAGGACGTGGCAGTGTAGTAGACTGTTTTCCCAGCTTCTCGGTGTCCTGTGGAAGTCAGTTCACTTGGTGCCTTCTCTGTTATCAGTTGGCAAATGACATGCGTGTGACTGGAAGCCATGCCTTCCTCAAACCAAATTCAGACATACGATGAGCCACTGAGATACGTTCCTGATTTCCCCTTACGGTGTTTGTTTCCCTGTGCCAACCTCTTTACAAAGAGGTTATACAGTTCTTTCTTCTCTCCTTGGTCATTGTCACTTCTGGAATTGGCACTTGACAGATTCTCCCATCGTGAAAACAAAATCCACCTTCTGTACTGAACTGACCTCTATCGTTGGCACACTTTGTATTTGATTAATCAGCAAATATTGATCCATTGGATCTTGGATATGGGTTCCAGAGCCAAGATTTTTGTTTTGTTTTGTTGCGTTTTCCAAAAGGATTGGTTAAACATCTGAAAAATTCCTGGCAGCATTTTGTGCACATTTATCTAGGTTTACAACTCCCTTGTTGAAGTAAATAAAATGTCAAGTCACCTGTTTCTAGACTCATACTTGGGGAGGAAAAAGGATCAGGTTCAGTCTGAGCATGAAGATGTGGAACCCATCAGGGAAACGGATGCATTCCAGCATGGTGAAGTATTCCCAGGGTTGTAACTGACCTCTGACCTGAGGACTCGATGGCCAGAGAGACAGTAGTTCTCCTTTCTTTTCCCACAGCTGGGGTCTTTCGGAACAACATTTATTTGTTTGTTTGTTTGTTGTGCACGTGTGTGCTGTAGGGAGCATGTAGCATCCAGAGGATAATGTGAACCCCGGGGATTCCACTCAAGGTATCAGGCTCAGTGGCCAGTGCTTTTACCCATGGGGCCTTCTCTTTGGCCCCTTGGCTGTATTTGTTTTTACATAGTTCAGTCTGTATAGCCATGAACTGAAGACGCCCCAGTGTCAAGCACTGAGTTACCTTTGTTACTGAGAGGAAAGAAAATGAACCCAAGTCAGTGTGAAAAGGCTGTGCAACCTAGAACTGCACAGCCCGACCTGGGCTCTGAGAGAGTCTCGTTCCTTCTGGGGACGTTGTCTCCTAGTTTAGCAAACCCTGCATCCTCTCTCAACACTGTTTCCGCGAACTCTGACCAAGGACTTGCTCCCTGCTCTCTGCCACCTTTTGAGAATCTGCCTTCTGTGTTAGCAACGTTCGTTGGAAGGGGAGAACATCCTAACCAGGTTTAATTCACCCTCTTTTTATTCTTCCTGGGTGAGCACTTTCTCTCATTGACAGTCCTGCTAAGTGGCCCAGGCTGGTCCAGAACCCTTGGACTGAGATGATTCTCCTGTCCCAGACCTTGAGCATCTGGGTCTATGGACACATGGTGGCATCTGACAGGAGATCACGTTTCTCGGCCTTGAGGAATTCCTATAATTGCAATAACATAATCAGAAATGATCTCCTCCTCCACTTTTTAGTTGCTACTGTTTTGTGCACACAGAGTGCAGCAGAGGCATTATGTCTGAGAGAAACTGCAGCCTCTCCCTAACACATCTGAGATACTGCTGTAAACCACACAAGAATGGAAGGGGAAGATGGTCACGGAGGACTCAGCGCTGGGATAGAGCTGAACAGGAGTCTCAATCTTAAGGCTGTGGTGGTTTTTATTAAAGAACAAAAACGATACTTGATTTTTAAAGCAAAGATGTGCTTAACTTGGAACTCATGTGGGTGGTGTTGTTGGTAGGGACCAGGTGAGTGGGGATAAGAACGTTAGTTGGAGTCTCTCCAGTTCCTCGGGACGGGATAAGGAAAGCTACCTCTAACCTCCAAAGCACGCCCGTGAGTGGGAAAGACCTGAAGGCATGCACGCTCAGGCCTCAGTGGAGATTGCTGGTGGGTAGAGGATAGCAGAGGGCTCTTGGGTGCAGCCCCTCTGCCTGCAGCAGAGAAGAAAGTCCCTGTCCCTCCGTTTCTGAACACTGGACTGTGACAGTCCCAAGCATAGTGAAAATCTAGTGGAGATCTGTACAGAGACCTCTGCCTGCCTTGACAAGGTCAGGCGAAGTCACCAGGACAGACAGACACTGAGTGGGAGGAAAAGCAGCGAGCCACGCATTGTCCCTTTGCTGGCGGGGGCTGTCCTGACTATTGTTACCCTTGTGATACCACCCTGGGTTTCACAGCATGGAGCCCACCCTTCAGATAGAGCCCACTAATGCACTGTGGCTTCTTTAAAACTCTGAGCACACTGGCTAATTGGT